GTGGGGAGAAAGGAGGGCGGCGAGGAGGAGGAGGAGGAGGAGGAGGAGGAGGAGGAGGAGGCGGAGGAGAAGGAGGAGGAGGAGGAGGAGGAGGAGGAGGAGGAGGAGGAGGAGGAGGAGGAGGCCTCTCGAGGCTCTCTTAGCGCATCCTGGGGGGCTTCTTGAGGGCGTCTTGGAAGGGCCCCGTGGGGCCTCTTGGGGGTCTCCTGTGGCATCTTGGGGACCTCTTGGGGGCCTCGTAAATGGCGGGCTGGCCTTTGGAGGCTGTCTTGGGGTCCTCTGTGGGCAGTCGTGGGTCCCTCTTTGGTCGCTTTAGGGCCGTCTTGGAGGTCTCTGGGGCCGTCTTGGAGGCGTCTTGGGCGTCTCTTGGGCTGTCTTGGGGCCGCCTTGCGGGTCTCTTTGGAGCCCTGTGGAATGCCTTGGGGCGAGTTTGAGGACCTACGGGGCCATCTCGGAGCATCGGAAAAACGAACGGGCGAGACAACTAGAATCATTGAACAACTTATGGGATGTTGGTGATGTTGGCCTTCTGGAGGTCCTCTTGGAGCCCGCTTGGGACCTCTTGGCGGCTCTCTTAGGGGCTGCTTTGGGGCCTCTTGGGGCCTAGTAGGTGGGGTCTTTTGGGGCCTCATGGGCGTCTCTTGGGACGGTAGGCTTTGATTTTCGGTTGAGGGGCCGTCTCGAGGCATTCTTGGGGCGGTCTTGGTGGCTTCTTGGGATGTCTTGGAGGGTCAGAAGCTTGAAAAGTGGATAATCCCCAACATGTTGAAAAACCGTAGGATCATCGGTGATTTTGGCATCTCAGGGGGGCCCTCTTGGGAAGGCTTTTGGAGGCCTCTTGGGACGTCTTGGGCGCTTGTTCGGCCGACTGGAGGCCATCTTGGGCGTCTTGGAGCGATCGTTCGGCGATTCGGGGCCCTCTGGGAGCATCCTGGGGCCCTCGTGGGGCTCTCTTGGCCCGTCATGGGGTTCGCTCGGGCCCGGAAAAGTCACGCGACAGGACGCGACAAGCCCCATAGGGGGCACGGCGGGAGCGCAAAATATTGCTTTGTTTGGGGGGTCGGGGCCCAACAGAATCTTCAGCGTTGAGGCCTGAGGCCGAAGGGATTGGGCCCAGGACCGAGAAGGGACCTGAGGACACTCCGCGTCGTTCCACAATGGGGCACGGTGTCGGAGAAATGGCGCACACGTGCCCCCAGGTGGCTCAAAGGGGTTAGGCAACTCTGCTCAGTGAGCTTCGTCCACTCGGCCCATACCTTGACCACCCGTAAGCTGCTCAGGGCATGCCCACTTATAAGCTGGGTGAGGCCAGATATCCGATCACCTTCACACCCACAGTGGTGATCCAAGTGCGCGCCGTGAAACACAGACCCCCGACGTCGTGTTTTCAGTTCTTTCTTAGTTAACGGCGACCCCCAGAGGTCTGGAACACTTCCCGGGGAGCGGCTCCTCATCCCGAATATTTTTTGGACTGTCCCAGGGCCTGGCCGGGGCCCCCAGAGGCCAGACATGTGCAAAAATTGTCCGTCATGGTTTTGCTCACGACGCGAGGGGGCTTGGACATTGCGCCTCTTCGTCTGCCTGGGGGCGGCGGCAGAAGTTCGCCGCTTGCCGCCCTGGCGCCGCCGCCGCTCGCCCCTCCCCGCGGCGACGGCGGCGGCGAGCGACGGGGAGCGACGGCGGCGAGCGACGGCGGCGGCGAGCGACGGGGAGCGACGGCGGCGAGCGATGGCGGACGAGGCGAGAACGCCAAAACCATTCAGAAACAAAAGCGAATTTGATGGACTGTGCCTCTTGGGGCCTCCTGGGGGTGCTCCTGGAGGCCCCCCAGGCGGGGGAGTCGTCTCTGGGTGGCGGCCCCTCCCCCGCGGGACCACCCGGGGACCCCCCCCCCCCAGGGGGAGTCGTGCCTGGGTGGTGACCCCCCCGGGACCCCTCCCGGGGACCCCCCCCCCCCCGGACGGGGGATGGATTTCGGGGAAGGGGCTTCCCCTCGACTGAATTACGACGTTGCTCAGTTTCGCTCTGGCTGGCGCGCTTGAGGAGGAGGGCCCAGGAATTGGGGGGGGGGCAGCGACGGGCCCATGGGAAATGGGGGCCGCAGGGAACGGGGACGACCGAGGCGGCGACGAGCGCATGACGGAGACGACGACTCGAGCGGACAGGCCCCTCACACACAGCGACAGGGTCGGCGGAGTTCCTTCCGCGTGAGGGGCCTGGGACCGCCTCCCCTCACCTGGCGGCACCAGCAGCTGGTCTCGGCGCGCCGCTGGGCGTGGTCCTCGAGGAAGCGACGATAAAACAGACACCGCGAACAGCCGATGGGTCCTCGACTGATCGCCCCCCCCCCCTCGTCTGGGATCGCTCACACTCATGTGCTGGCGGCGCGCACAAGGGGCTGGCGCCAAGGGTGGGAGGCCTTCTAAAGATGCCGGGGGATGCTGAAAAGGCAGGTGGCTTCTTAGAAAACCCCGCAGGCTTCTAAGTAGGCTTTTTAGAAGCCTGCAGGGCCTTTCTGAGAAGGCCCCCGCCTTCTAAGATGCCGACTGCTTTCTTACCCCCCCCGCTAAGTTTGCCTAGGGGGATAAAAAGGGGGTTACACGTGGATGCGAATGTGGGCTATAGTTGGCCGAACCTTATTTATCGAAGACGCCTACGGCGGATCACCGCCGCCCCCCGCCTTTTTGGAAGCGCCTGTCTGGCTGAAAGTTGGGAGCTGTCGGACCGTTTGTTCTGGGGAACACGTGAGGAAGAGAAGAATGAGGAGGAAAACGACAAGGGAGGAGGAGGAGGAGGAGGAGGAGGAGGAGGAGGAGGAAGAGGAGGAGGAGGAGGAGGAGGAGGAGGAGGAGGAGGGGCAGGGGGAGGAGGAAGAGGAGGAGGAGGAGGAGGAGGAGGAGGAGGAAGAGGAGGAGGAGGAGGAGGAATAATGATAATAATAATAAGCATAATAAGAAGAATAATACGACGAATAATAGAAGTAATAATAAGAATGCTAATACGAATAAGAAGAATATTAATAGGAATAATAACAATAATAATACAACTAATAATACTGAGAAGAAGAAGAATACGAATAATAATACTAATACGCATAATAATAAGAGTACTACTAATAATAAGAATAATAAGAAGACGACGAATAATAACAATAATACTATTAATAATAATAATAATACGAACCATACTACTTACCCGTTACGAAAGTTATTCATCTTGAGCACTGACGGCTAGGGCGTCTCCGAGTGGCCCCCCCTTCCCCCCGTAGGCTCCTAGCACGGCAGTCTTCGGCCTGGCTTGGCGGGAGAGATTTCCCGGGTTCTCCCTGGTAGCATTAATAGTAAATAACCAATTCAGGATAAAATCTCTCCCCCGTAAATTCACAAGGGAGAAATCACTCCGCGCCACTTCCAGGCAACTCTGAATATCTCCCCGTATGAAACCACAAGGAAGAATCACTCCCATACCACTTCTCACCACAGCGCCCACACATGTCAATTTTAGCCAAGATGAATTAACTTTCGTAACGGGGATGTAAGAACACTAATAAGACTAAGAAGAATAATAATATTAAGAAGAATAATACTAAGCATAATAAGAATAATAATATTTAGAAGAAGGATACGAATAATAAGAATACGAATACGAATAATAATGCGAAGACGATTAAGAAGAAGCAGAAACATAATAAGACGAAGAATAATATTAATAATAACACTAAGAAGACAGATAATAATAACAATAATACGACGAATACGAAGAAGACGCATACTAATACTAATAAGAAGAATAATACGAAGAATAATAATCATAACACATAATAATACAAATAATAATAGTAAGACTGATAATGCCAGTAATCATAAGTTTAAGAATATTAAGAAGAAGCATAATAACAATAATAACAGTAACAAGAATACTAATAACACTAAGAAAAAGAATACTAATACTAATACGACTAAGAATAAGAAGACTATTACTAAGAAAAATAAGAAAACTAAGAAGAATAATATTAACAATAAGAAGCATAATAATAATAATAATAAGAATAATAATAATAAGGACAATAAGAAGAAGAAGAGGAGCTGGTGGAGGAGGAGGAGGAGGAGGAGGAGGAGACGGGGGAGGAGGAGGACGCCTCTTGGAAGCCTCTTGGAGCACTCATGGGGTCTCCTGGGAGCCTCCGGGGGGCCTCTAGGAGGCCTCTTTGGGGCCTCCTTGGGCCTCTTGCTGGCCTTTGGGGGCTTGTTCGGGGCCTCGTTGGCCGTCTTGCGGCGTTCCTGGGCCGTCTGCCGTCCTTGGAAGCCGTCTTGGGGGCCTCTCTGAACCGATTTGGCGTCTTTTTGGGGCGCTTCATGGCCGTCCTGGAGGCCACCTTCGGCGTCTCCTCTTGGGGCCGTTTTGTGGGCCCGTTGGGCCCTTTGAAGCCATCTTGGCCAACAAGATGTAAACACCAACACCTATCAAACACCAAAGGAGCATCAGCGGTGTTTGCTTCCGCAGGCCTTCCTGGATACCCTTCTGGGAGCCTCTGGGACGCCTTGGAGGCCTCTTGGGGGTCTCTTGGGCCAGCTTGAGGCCAGCTTGGGCCGTTTTGGTGGCGTAGTGAGCGGACCTGGGAGCATCTCGGACCCTCGTGTCCCGTCTTGGAGGCCATGTTGGACGAATTTGGAGGCCATCTTGGACCATTTTTGCCGTCTTGGAGGCCCTCTGCGCGCGAACACTCTTGATGCTCCCGATGCAGGGCTTCTTACGTTACTGATATACTCGAATGGCTGTTTTGCAGGTCGTGCTGTTCATATGGCTGTCTCTGGTGGTGCTCCCGCCTGTCCGTGGACTTTCCGCAGTCAGTCTGTCCCAGACGGAACCAAAAGACAGCAAGTATCATGATTCATATGAATCCATAGGGCAAGAAATTGAAATGGACGAGTCATTAGATAGTCAAGCACGTCTCGCTCCGAAGGCGAACTGCACCGAGGAAAGCTGGGCGATTCCTAAGCATGACGTGTCTGGCACAAGATATGATTTCTTCGCAGAAGCCGTGGATCGTGTTCAGAGGGGCAACATTTCGCACCTCGGCCGAGGCGCAAGAGGTGGCGCTCTGCTCGATAAGGCGCCACGTGGTGGCACCCCTGAAGAGGGCGTGCGCCCTCAACTCGGTGCACGTGCACCTCTGTGTTCGCCCCCACGGGGCGAACCGTCTACTCGTGGAGAGCGCTGATAAGTATTTCGGGATCGCGAGTGGCGACGTCAGCCTTCGGGAGCTGAGCAAGGCAGAGCAGCCCCTGCAGCAGGGTCAGTATTGGGCCTGCCTGGCTGACGTGCCCAACGATGCCGGGTTTGCGCTCATTCTGCGGCCGGACTTGGTCTTTAAGAAGAGTTTGAGTTTTGATCGTGTTGCGTCCCCCGACATGTTCTATTTCCAGTGGAACTTGTTCCATCATTGCGTGAATCGGGAAATCGCCGATCAGATTCATCTAGTGGGGGGCAGCTTGATCCTCGAGTTCAAAGAGAAGTGGAACAGCGAGCAGATGGGGGCAGTCAAAGCGGGGCAGCCATACTGGGATACTTTCCACATGATGTTCACGTGGGGCGTCGAAGCCTTCGGACAGGAGCGCGTGGGATGTCTAATGGAATATCCCGCCACGAATTGTTTCTATCGGGGCAGAGGCGGTTTTCGGCGATGGCACCAATACGGCTTCTGCAAGCAGCGTGTGAACCCCGGGGTGCTTCACCACGGCAACGTCACGAACCCGCTGTTTACCTACGACCGCTTGATCAGTACTGACGGCGAGGCGTCGTGCAAATTGGACTAGACTGCGGGGCCCAGGAAAGCGCGTGCCGAACAACGCGCTCTTGGCCTCTGGAGAAGTCACGCGGGGACCCCCCAAGAGCGCGCAAGAACGCCCCGGAACACCGCGGAATTTCAGGTTGTGGGCCCCATGAAGCATATGTGCATGGCAAGATCTCGAAGGGACTTGAAGACACTACAGCTCGTGCCTCGGGGCGCGGTGGCAGATCATCTGCAGGGGCATCGCCCCCAGCCGCCGGCCCCCTATCTCAAGGAATGGTATATGTAAGAGGTGTGTGTGGGGAGGCCTGGGCGCCGTCGTGAAGCAGTGTCGGAACCCCGAACGATGGCCAATGTCGTGCGTTACGGTTCGCAATGCAAGCCCGAGGCGGATCGTTCCTGGGGAGGGCCTTGCAGTAGAGAGGTTGCTGCGCCTGGGGGGCGCAGACGTCGCGGAATTTACCAGAGGTTTATGGCCTCGGGGGCGCAAGTGCCGTGTAATTTATAAAAGGGACGGCGGCCTCGGGGACGCACCCGTGGTGTATTCTACAAGTGTTTCTCGCCTCGGGGACGCACATATTGTGCAACTTGCAAGGTTCTCTGGCCACGGGGACGCGGATGAGGCATCATTTGCATAGGATTGTGGTCTCGGCGACGCCAATATTATACAATTTGTAAGGGTTTGTGGCCTCGGGGACGCATATCATGTATAATATAATAAGATTTGCGGCCTCGAGGTCGCAAATATTACACAGCGTCGTGTTGAATTTTATGGCTTCGGGGACGCGAATATGGTGTAATTTGCGACATGCAGTCGCTTCGGGGACGCAGGTATTTTGAATTTATATGTTTCAATTTAGGAGGTTCTATAGCCACGGTAAAGCGACTATTGCATACTTTATGAAGGATTGTGGCTTCGGGGGCGCGAATCTCACGTATTTTTTGTGTCCCATGAGCCCACGGGAATTCAGACAACGCGATCCGGGCGTTCTGGGCCTTTTGCGGCTCCCCCCCCGCGCGTTCAGTAACCCTACACATAACAGTAGGAAGCAGTAAGTAGAGCTGGAACCCTATCACATTGGACACTGGAACTTTCAACTGGTGCAGGGAGCAGCGAGCCTCGTCCTACAGCTTGGTGGCCCCACAAGGGGGCCGGCGGATTGCTACTGCCACCATGGCGACTCGTATTACTACTGACTTTATCATCATCATCATCATCATCATCATCATCGTCATCGTCATCATCGTCACCATCATCATCATCATCATTACCATCACCATCACCATAATCATCACCATCATCATTATCGTCATCGTCATTGCCATCGTCATCGTCATCGTCATCGTCGTCGTCAACGTCATTTTATCTTCATTTACATGATTATCGTTATCATTATAATTATTATCATCATCGTCGTCGCCGTCGTTGTCGTCGTCATCACCATCATTATCACCACCCTCATCATATTCATCATCATCACCATCCTCATCCTCATCCTCATCCTCATCCTCATCCTCATCCTCATCCTCATCCTCATCCTCATCCTCATCCTTCTCATTATCATCGTCATCACCTCCATCCTCATCCTCCTCATCATCATTATTCACACCATCATTACAATCATCATCCGCAACCATACCATCAGCAACACTACCATCATCATTACCATCATCATCATCATCATCATCATCATCATCATCATCATCATCACCGTCATCATGATCACCGCTCACATCATTGTCACCAACACCACCATCGTCATAATCATCGCCATCATCATCATCATCATCATCATCATCATCATCATCATCATCATTATCATCGTCTTCACCATCATCATGCATCATCGCAAACATCATCATCACAATCATCATCACCATCAGCATCACCATCATCACCAGCATCATTACCAACATAATGGTCGTCGTCAGCATCTTCCTCCCCATCATCATAGTCCCCACCACAATCATCATCATGATCATCATCACCATCATCACCATTATCGTTAACACAGTCGTCATCGTCACCATCGTTATCTTCAGCATCGTCATCATCATCATCATCATCATCACCATCATCATCATCATCATCATCATCATCATCATTATCGTCACCGCCATCGTCATCGTCATCGTCCTTGTCGTCGTCGTTGTCGTCGTCATCACCATCATCACCATCATCACCATCATCACCATCATCATACCCACCGTCATCAGCGTCCTCCTCCTCCTCATCCGCATCATCATGGCGCAGCCTTGCCCCCCCCCCCGGGCCAGGCGCTCGTGTTCCCGGCGGCGACGCTGCCGTCGGGCCGCATGCTAGGATGCGCCAAGAGGAGCAACCCCGACTCGGAGTCGGACTACCAGGCCGGGGAGGGGTGCCCCGATCTTGGAAAGAGAGCCTTCTGTGGACGCGGGGAAGGGGGGGGGGGGCGGGTGGGGGTGATTCGGACCGGGGGAACCCTCCGACCCCTGAAATGCAAGGGCCGGGGTTCGCACCGGGGGGCGCCCCTCCCCCCCTTCAAGGGGCCGGTTCTGACGTGTCCAGGATATCTTATCGGAATCCTGGGAGTTTCTTAGTCCCGGTGGACTCGAATGCGTGCCATGCGAGCGAGGCGCAAGGTGCAGGCGTCATTCCCCAGAGTCGGACGACGACGGCTGACCTGGACTTCCCTCCTCTCCAGCCCGCGCTCCGCAGAATCAGGTCTAGCGACGATTTCACCATGAGTGTCTCTCCTTACGAGCTATCGCTGTAGCTCCTCTGCTGCCCTTCGGCGCCGTGTGTGCATGTCGGCCCTCGTAGCACGATTCCTGCCGTGCCGTGGAGTTCTAATGCCACGTTCTCTTCTGCCGCGATGCCGTCGTACATGATGCTTCGCCGCTCGCATGGCTTGTCGTGCGTTTCGCTTGGCATCTTTATCTCGTTGAGTTGCGCACGCTCTCCTTTTTCAAGTGTCTTGCCTACCCACTTTCCTTTTCGGCGCGCTCAGACGTGTAGGTGGTCCGAAGTGGCCATTGCAAACCCCGGGGGATTGTAGCAAGTGCGACACAGAATGAGAAGCCCATCCCGGGGAACGTCACGGGGCTCTGGACCCATGCCTTGCAGGGCCCCTCCCCTCGTGGCAGCTGCTGCTCCATCACGATGCCCGCTCCGCTGATCCTGATCCCCGCAGATCCCCACACCCATGCCCCGATCCTGTTCCCTTCTGATGGCTGCTGCGCCTTCCCTCCGGTTGGCCCAGAAGGGGGTCTAGCGAAAAGAGGGTGGTGCAATAGATCTGGTGCAGCATATTTGTAGGGTTGCAGCAGAGATTGGGGCGTGCAATACATTCCAGTGCGCAGATGCATTGCCGGATTTTCGCGTGCAGTGCATTCGTTGCAGTACAATGCAGTACGGTACAATTGCCCCAAACCCATTGCACCACCCCCTTTCAGCTGGACCCCCTTCTGGGTCAACCGAGTCCCCACGCCGAGCTCCCACGCCCAGCGTTCTCCCACGCCCGGCGTTCTGGGAGCTACCGCTCCTGCCTTACACATATCGCTCGTTGGCGAGGTGACGCCGCCAGGGGCCCATGCCGCCTTCCCTACGCCAATGCCAGTGCCGTCTTCCATGCGATGGAGGCGTGCGTCGAGGAATGTACCCGGGAGGCTTCAGACCCTTGAGGATTCCTATCTGATGAGGGTGGTGGTGATATCCATGGCCGATCTCACGATTGGACATTGGCTTCCAGACCCTGGATTCCTTATCCAATGGTTCTTTCTCCAATGCCCTCACCGTCTGAGATCGAAAGGTGCCTGGAGCCGAAATTGCTGCGGCGACTATACGTGGCGCTGAGATCATTATACGCGTAGCGATCCACTTAAGCGGTGCCGACCGCGATGTCGATGTCTTGCACGGGCGGTACTCGAGTGTCGACCACATTTTGAACAACGCATTGACGAGCGCGACGCAGTTTCCGCCCGCATTGAAGACCAGAGGAGGTCGAACGCATTTCACGGCAGTGAATTTCATCGATGGCAATGTCGCGTCGCTTTATCGCTAAGCTTTGCATTGCGAGGGGGAATGGAGGGGGGGGGGACGGCGCTGGCTTTGCGCTCGCTCTTGTGCGAAAACGGATTCGGTCAAAACCGCGGGGCCGCGCCGTCTTAGTCTTGTTGCGGCTGCGCCCTGATCAGCACGGCCAGCAATTCTGTGGTACCGTGCAAGTAAAATACGTGTTGAACCAGGGGTGCACTGACAAAGAGCTTTGAAGCGTCTTCGGTTTTTTTCCCTGGAGACAGATTTCCGCAGTAGCCGTGGAGGTCTAAGCGACAGTCAAGCTTTGGGCCCTCATATGTGTGCCGCAGCGCATCGGGAACATGAGGAGGAGGAGGCAGAGGAGGAGGTGGAGGATGAGGAGGATGATAGTTTGAACAATGATATTAGAATTGTAGGCAACAACATAACTAATTGATAACAACGGTGCTCAGGAGAGGCATGATAAGAAGAGGGATAATAATAAGAAGTCGAATAAACTAGTCAGAAGAAGACGACTGATACGAAGAAGAAGGAGGAGGAGGATGAGGAGGAGCCTGGATGACGAGGACGAAAGATGGGGGAGCGGGGGCGAGGATCGAGGAGCCATTGGCGGGGCGGAGGAGGGAAGAGGAGCGATGAGCCTGCCCCCGGGAGGTTCTCGGCGGCGTCCTGCGGCGTGTCGTGCCGCCCTGGCTGCCGAGCGCCGCGGCGACAGGCCGCGCGGCGGGGGGGCAGCAGCGAGGGCTTCTCCCCGCTCCCGGTTCCCTCCCTTCCTGTTGCCTCCTCCCTCTCCCCCCTTGCTCCTCGTCGTCGTCGTCCTCCCCGTCCGCGTCCTCCTCGTCCTGGTGCTCCTCCCTCCTCTTTCCTCCCTCCTCCTTCTCCCTCCTCCTTCTCCCTTCTCCTCCTCTTCCTCCTCCTCCTCCTCCTCCTCCTCCTACTCCACCTCCCACTCGTCCTCGTCGTCGTCGTCCTCGTCATCGTCCTGGCCGTCGTCGTCGTCGTCGTCGTCGTCGTCGTCGTCAGCTTCGTCGTCGCCTTTGTCGTCGTCGTCCTCATCCTCGTCCTCGTGCTCCTCCCTCGTCCCTTCCTCCTCCCCCTTACTTTGCCTCGGCCCCTCCAACCACTTTTCCAACTTAGAAGGCCAGGCGCGAGTATCTCAGTAGTTTTTTCGCGACCTGTTTTCCACATGCTGAGTAGCACGCCCTTTCTGTCATTCTGACATGGTGGAAATCTGGGAACTCTGTTCCTTCTCCTCTTTGCCCCCCTCCCCCCTCCTCCTACTCTCCGTTTCTCCCCGTTTCCCTTCCGCCTCCCCCTCCTCCCTATCCTCATCATTCTCATCCTCATTCCTCATCCCCCTTCTCCCTACTCCTCCCGTCTTCCTCCTCCTTCTCCTCCTCCCACTCCTTAGTGTCTTCATCCCCATCACCATTTTTTCTCCTTATCCTCCTCCTCCTCCTCCTCCTCCTCTTGCTTCCTTCTTCTGTTTCTCCTCCTCCTCTTCCTCCTCCTCCGCCTCTTCTATTCTTTCTCCTCGCCCTCCTCTTCCTGCTGCTCCTCTTCAACACCACCTCGTTCTCCCAGGCAAAAGGCAACGTTACCTACCGATGGTGGCAGCGCTGCGTTCTAGATCTTGAGGGCAACGTGGTCAGTATTGAACATTGGGCAAAGCAAGGCGACCCGCTCAAATCGCTACTTCTCAGCTGCCAATCTCGAGGTATGTTCACATTGTGCCAGGCAAGCTGGGGCACACTGAAATATGGGCTACCGCTTGCATTTGTCGATGCAGCACGCTTGACTAAATCAATATTCGAGGGCGATACAAGGCTAGTCCACTCGTCACTAGCTCAAGTACGCTGAATGCTGGCAGCTATTGTGAAAGCTGCTAGGCGCATCTGTCTTCAGCTACATTCGCTGACTGAACACAATCTTGTGTATGTTTGTGTGTGTGTGTGTGGATGTGTGTGTGTGTGTGTGTGGTGTGTGTGTGTGTGTGTGTGTGTGTGTGTGTTTGTTTGCTTGTTTGCTTGTTTGTTTGTTTGTTTGTTTGTTTGTGTGTGTGTTTGTGCGTGGGTGTCAGTGTTTCCTCTATCGCCGCTTCGCGTGCCCTTCTGTCCGCTTCTGCAGGCTCGGATTCCGATCATCCCGCGTGCGCTCGTTGGGAGGACTTTGTAGTCGTTGCGTGTCTTCTGGGCTCTCTCCTGCCATAGCTCACTGCGGCCTCGCACTTGCGGCATACTTGCTCACTGCTGTAATATTGTTCTCGCGGGGTCGGTCGAGGTAGACAGAGCACTGCGATTGGCGCGTTCTTGAAGTACAGGAGTGCATTCGGCACCCTACATGCGTTGACAAAGTGTCGTTCGGCACTGGTCATTTGTTATTGTAGTGGCCTCCGGCCAGTGCCGCCGATCCAGGGCGCTCCCGATGATGATGATGATGATGATGATGATGATGATGATGATGATGATGATGATGATGATGATGATGATGATGATGATGATGATGATGATGATGATGATGATGATGATGATGATGATGATGATGATGATGATGATGATGATGATGATGATGATGATGATGATGATGATGATGATGATGATGATGATGATGATGATGATGATGATGATGATGATGATGATGATGATGGTGATGGTGATGTGATGGTGATGATGATGATGATGATGATGATGATGATGAGGATGAGGATGAGGATGAGGATGATGAATGATGATGATGATGATGATGCTGATGATGATGATGAACGATGATTGATGATGATGTGATATGATGATGATGATGATGATGATGATGATGACGATGACGATGACGGATGATGACGATGACGATGATGATGATGATGATGATGATGATGATGATGATGATGATGATGATGATGATGATGATGATGATGATGATGATGTGATCATGATGATGATGATGATGATGATGATGATGATGATGATGATGATGATGATGATGATGATGATGATGATGATGATGATGATGATGATGATGATGATGATGATGATGATGATGATGATGGATGATGATGATGATGATGATGATGATGATGATGATGATGATGATGATGATGATGATGATGATGATGATGATGATGATGATGATGATGATGATGATGATGATGGATGATGGTGATAGTGATGATGGTGATGATCACGGCCCCCCCCCAACCCCTCTCTCCTGTCCCCTCCCCTCTCTCCTGTCCCCCCCCCTCTCTCCTTCCCCCCCCCTCCGCCCTCTCTCTCTGTCCTCCCCACCCCCACCTCTCTAACTGTCCACGCACCAACCTCTCCCCCCCCCTCCTCGCCTGTCCCCCCCCCCTCTCTTTCCTCCCCCCCCCTTCCTTTCTCCTGTCCCCGCCCCCCTCCTCTCCTTCCCCCCCCCCACATCCCTCTCTTCTGTCCTACCCCCCCCTCTCTCCTGTCCCCGCCCCCCCCCCCTCCTCCACAATTACTCAATATGAAAATACTCTCCCTCTTCCCCTGATGGCGTCCGGTTGATGGCCGCGCACCCTCAGCGTACTGTTTTTTTACACACAGGATTCCCGGGAAATCCCGGGAAACGACTCTCGCTGAGGCGCCGGCGTCATTTTTTCCCAAAGTGCTGCTCTCGTTGAGGCGCCGGCCTCATTTCTGCTCCCGAATCGTTCCGAATCGTGCTCCCGCTGCAGCGTGGCCTCATTTTCGGATCGGTGTTTGGCCTCCGTCGTTCAGGATGGCGTTCTCGCCCCAGCGCGGGCCTTTTTCTCGCGCGCCCATCCGCCCGCCACCACCGCGCCGCACCGCCACCACCACCACCACCACCACCACCACCACCACCACCACCACCACCCCACCACCACCACCACCACCACCACCACCACCACCACCACCACCACAACCACCACCAGCAACAGCACCAGTACCAACACCACCACCACCACCCACCACCACCACCTCCCAACCACCCCACCACCACCACCACCACCACCCCACCACCAACACCACCACCACACCAGCACCACCACCACCACCACCACCACCACACCCACCACCACCACCACCACCACCATCACGACAACCACGCACACACGCACGCACGCACGCACGTGCACCACCACCCACTACGCACGCGCGCGCGGAGCCACAGGTCCGCTACGACACGCGTCCGCGGATAGAGAAAATCAGCGCCATGGTAAGGGATGGGAGGGAGGGGTAGGACGTCAGATATGACGCGAGCGCACCTAGCTTGCCTCCCCCCTCCCCTCTCCTCTGTCCTCCCCCCCTCTCTCCTTTCCCCCCCCCCTCTCTCCTGTCCCCCCCCCCCTCTCCTCCTGTCCCCCCCCTCCTTTCTCCTGTCCCTGCCCCTCCCCTCTCTCCTTTCCCCCCCCGTCTCTCCTTCCCCCCTCCCCCCCTCTCTCCTGTCCCCCCCCCCCCTCTACAATTACTCAATATGAATACTACTCTCCCTCTTCCCCTGATGACGGTTTGAAAATATTAGCCCCCCCCTCCCCCCGCGTATTGCTTTTTTGCGCAGGATTCCCCGGAGTTTGGTTTTCGCTTGCATTTTTTCCAAAATGCTGCTCTCGCTGAGGCGCCGGCCTCATTTTCGGACCCCGCTCGTTCCGAATCGTGCTCCCGCTGCAGCGCTGGCCTCATTTCCGTGCTTCCGCTCGTTCCGAATCGTGCTCCCGCTGCAGCGCTGGCCTCATTTCCGCGCTTCCGCTCGTTCCGACTCGTGCTCCGGCTGCAGCGCTGGCGTCATTCCCCGTGCCATGCCACGGCATGCAATGCAATGCTAGGTTGATGCTACGCTTTGCGGTACTCTTCTACGCCATGCCATGCCGTGCTCAACAATGCATCGCGTACCCTTTCGGGATCATTGCCCTGCTCGACATCCGACTGTGCGAGTAGAGAGGGGATCTACGCCATGGTAAGGGATGGGAGGGAGGGGAAGGATGTCAGATATGACGCGAGCGCGCCTAGCTTGCCCCCCCCTCTCTCCTGTCCCCCCCCCTCCTTCCTCTCTCCTGTCCCCCCCCCTCTCTCTTCTGTCCCCCCCCCCTCTCTCTCCTTCCCCCCCCTCCTCCCCCCCCTCTCTCCTGTCCAGGGCGCAGTGCAGCGGGGGGGGGGAGCTGGGGGGAAGAGAAGGTGCAGAGGCGGGGGGTGCAGGAAGAGAGGGGGGGCGGAGA